TTTGAACAGCTGAACTGCAGAACTGCAGTCAGCTGAAGTAGCCTGCAGTGGTGCATTTAACCACTGCACCACCTCGGCTCTATTTTCAAAGGGACATTGATAGATACAAGGGATATCAAAGAAATATGCCACCAGTTTCTATTAGGAACAGAGGGGCTCCATCACTGCACATGTAACTCAAGACAGAGGTTGATTTCTGATTGATTACAAAGTCTTCTTGCAAGGAAGACTGAAGTTGTAAGCACATTTGCTTGGAAATAACTTGGCATAGAAAAGTCATCCCCTGTTATTTTCTTAACTGCTTCAAGGAAAAGTATTTTTTTTAACAGAACAGTAGCAGTCTTTAATGTGTTTCAGGTTATTTTCAGCTGCTACTAACATATAGGTCTCAACTGATAATTGCTTTTCTCTTTCTACATGAGGGGTCTAAAAAGCCATTAGAAGTTCCCAATGCTTTTTAGTGGCTTTCTAGTGCAATTGCCAAAACTGAGTGTTTCCAAAATTAGCTATTAACTAGAAATCACATTTAAAGTGAAGAGCAAGCAAAGATATATTTAAACGAGGATGGTTTAACAAGCTGGTTCAACAATTACACTGGCTTTGTATATGTTATTGTACAGAAAACAGTTACTTACTGGAACGCCCTGTGGTCCAATTCGACCTCTTTCTCCTGCCATCCCTCGGGGACCCTGGAGTCAATAATATCAAAAGAAAAAGATATTATTCCAGAGTTTAAAAGGAAGTGGAGATCATCTGCTTGTAATTCTCCTCAACTCTAGCTATGACTGACCAATTATTTCCTTTATCCACCCCAAAACAAATATTATCTGGGCAGTCAGCATAAAAAGAATAAATGTTCAGTGAATCTGAGGTAAACATACAGACACACCCAAGCAGTTCAGGAAATGGAATTTAAAACATCTTTTAAATAAGACAGAAGTATTATGAAGTAAACATGTTGGGTCGTGCAGTTTTTTTCTATGAAAGGAGAAGCTAGGAAGATGCAAAGAAAATTTGCCTAATAGGTGCCTGCACTAAAGAATAATCTTCTGAGGCAATGTATAACAAGTATGGCATCTCCAATTTGTTAACTATTAGGCAGGTGCATAAAGGGTAAGACAATCTATCATCATCCTATCATGATGTCCAGTTTCAGTTAAATTCAATTAATGTGAAAGAACGAGCAGATACAGGGAAAAGCAGAGTCAATCACCATTTAAGGTCAATGATAACAGAAGAGGTATACTACATTAAAAATTATAGTACAATATGGAGGCATAATATAAGATCAGATAATGTATCTGCTTTCCCTATAGCAGGGGGTTCAAACTCAAGGCCCATGGGCCAAATCTGGCCTGCAAAGTGCTTAGATCTGGCCCACAGGGCTGCCCCGAAAACAGCAAAGGACTGGCCTGCAGTGCCTCTGCCAGCAAAAAGCAAAGCTTGGGAAGGCCATGCGCAGCCATTCCAAGCTTTGTTTTCAGCCATGACAGCCTCCTGCAGCCCTCTGCCAGCAAAAACTGAGCTTGGAGGGTTTCGTACACCACCACTCCCAAATGCCGTTTTCACTGGCAGAGGGTTGCAGGAGGCTGTTGTAGCTGAAAACGGGACCCTGGAGTCCTTTTTCGCTGGCAGAGTGCTCAGGCCATCACAGGCACCCTTGACACAAGTGGTGTCATGCTGGTCACACAGCCGGGCCATGCCCATCCTGGCAGGGGTGGGCTGCTGCCAGTTTTACTACTGGTTTGCAATCTATGTGCAACGTGCGCAGATGTGTATGCACTCTTCAATGTAAATTGTTTTGGGTGCAGGCATAAAAACAATTTACATTGAACTGCGCATGCACAGTCACTAAAATCCAAAATGGCAGCGGCCCAGCAGCAGTGAGGTAAATGGTTCGGGGACATGAATTCCACTACCGGTTTGGCTGAACCGGGCCAAACTGGCAGCAACCCACCTTTGCGCCCCAGGCCCCTGAGGTCAAACACAACCTTGATGCAGCCCCCAATGAAATCGAGTTTGATGCCCTTGCCCTATAGCAATAATGATCATGGATGAAACTGAGGTAGACTTGAGTTCATAGAAAAAAGCAATAGCAATAGCAATAGCAGTTAGACTTATATACCGCTTCATAGGGCTTTCAGCCCTCTCTAAGCGGTTTACAGAGTCAGCATATCG